AAAGAAAGGGACAGAGGGGGGGGGGGGGGGGGGGGTAGTATATGTGTGATTAAATAAAGGTGGAGAGACTAAATTTTGAGAGGGCCAGTAGTTGTTCAAGGAAGACCTCACTTTATCTATGCTACACACATAGTTCCTACCATTAACACCTCAGAACAAGCACATTTTTGAAAGAGTAAAACCTGCAAATCTTATTTAGCACCAGGGAAAGCGGGAAGAACCCATACACCTTGAGAAACTTTAACTTCTCTGAGAAGGGCTTTGTCTGCCTCAGGTCACGTTAACTTTGGCTAAGAGTCATTGGAGACTGTTCCGAAGCAGTGGTCACTTGCATTTAATGCTCAACTCTATTTTTTTCTTTTCTCCTACTTCTCCTTTTTTATTATTACGACGCATCCGTAATCCATCGAATATTTACACAATAAAAAAATAATAATAATCCCCCCACACACACACATTGGGCTTTACAAGCCTAGCTTAAAAATAAAACAAAACAAAACAAAAAAATCGAAGTAAACGTTCCTCGTTTTTTTAAAAAATAAAATACAATCCAGACTTCTTTCAAACAAACAGAAAGCTGCCTCCTGCTTTGCTTTCAGAGGGCGAATCATTTGAGCTCCTGCTGGTTTTCCACTAGTGGGTAAGGCAAATGTGTTTGTCGCAGCCCCGGTTCCAGTGCCAAAAGTTTGGGGCAAGAACCCATCGTCCTTTTTAAAAAAAATTTTTTGCACAGCCTACTGCGTGAAAATCGCTCCTGAGATGCTCCGAAACAAGAAGGCATAGCCAACAGTAGTGCAAACTTTACTTTGAGAAATAAACGCAAAGAGGGAGGCGGTGAGAAAAGAGAACGTCCAGACATTTTGAGGGGGTCGAGAGGGGACCCACATTGTTTCTTACTTAACTACTCCGCCACGGGTGAACTCAAGAGGAAACCTGAGGCAGGGAGAGAGAGAGAGAGAGAGATCCCCCAACTGGTAATCTTTAGCTCCCTTTGGCCTCTCACTAATTTTGTGATGAATCAGCATCCCAAAGCATCACCCTTGCTTACCGACCCAAAGTCATCAATCTGGACTGAGCCAGAGTTCCCAGTGTAAACAGGGCATGCAGTTGAACTCTTAATGGGCCCAGAAATGAAAAGCCATCTTCTTCACCACTGGGGGAATGTAGAAACCTGTCCTACAATCCAGGCAGAGGGAGGCCCATACAGATGGGATGTTTCGGAGCCTGGATTATATTATTATCCATGTGAGAATCACTCCTATGCGTGTCAATCACGGAGTAAGTGCTTTTTGCTGTTTGTGAGCTTGAAGAGGTTGGCTCCCCCATCAAGGAAGGGAGACGGGTTTTCAAATGCAGAATAAAACATGCAAAGGGAAAGGATCTCACAATTTTTGTATTCTGCCATTCAAAACACGACTTCATGGCATAACAACAACAACAACAAAAAAAAAACACCAGAGAACATTTTTTTAAGCTGGAGAAGATCGGCCTTAAATTGGCTTTCCCTCCTCACCATTCAAGTTGAAAAAAGGGGGGTGTTTCAAAATGGTGGACGTGGGCTAAAGCAAAACCAATAATTCCTAATAAAACACATTTCAAGATGGGGCAAGAAGCCATTTGACCAAAATGCTACTTCATCGCAGGTCTTTCACATCAGAAACGGTGGAGAGCACCCACACAATGCAATGGCCAAAACTGCGGGTCCAATTCTTCTTCCCTTACACACCACCAAGAAGCCTAGCCTACCAAACGAACCAAGTTAAGGGCGGCCAGGAAAAAATGGTCCCTGACCTCTAAACGAAAAACAGAATTCCGACATCATCGAGACACTTCTTGCGGGCTGACCCACAGCCAACTTCGCACCATCTCAAGGGTGTTTAGAAGGGTGTTGTGGAGCCGTGTAGAGAAGCAGGGGGAAAAAAAAGACATAGAAGGGTCTCTGAGGAGAAGCTGAGGGAGGAGAAACAGAGAATTTGATCATTTCCATCACCCCCTCTTGAAACTGGGGAAAAAAACCACGACCATTACTCCTCAACCGTCTTTCAAGCAGGTCATCTTGGGGGAGTCTATAGTGCATTAGAAACTTTCCAGAGAACACAACTTAAAAGCAGGGTGGGAAAGAAGGCATCCTAGGAAAGGAGGTTGCTCTATCCTATCCCATTCTGATTTGAAACCTTTCAAATCCATTTTACACCCCCTCTTTTCTTGTCAAGGATAAATGTCATAACGTCATCCCCGGAATGGCTGCCTGTGTGAGCCAGGCAAAGGGGGGGAGTGGAAATCCATGTGAACCGTTCTGCATACAAGCGGTGGTCTCAAGGGCCACTATCTGGCTTTTAATGGGAATCTATGTGAACCGTTCTGCATACAAGCGGGGGTCTCAAGGGCCACTATCTGGCTTTTAATCCACCCACCCCCTACCCCCAACATACGGTATACGAAGAAGGGTGCTTGGTGGCAGAAGCGTTGGAACTGAACAGGGAGAAGTAAAGAGATCTATATGTAGTATCAACAGTCCCTGAATGGGTTGATCAGGTGTCGGCTAATCCTTTGGGGCAGAGCTAAGCTCCTCCAACTTTTCTGTACAGAATTAAAGCATATCCTAATGGATATACAGCTACGTGTCTTTATATATGCATATCTTTATATATAAGAATATATATAGTACATCTCTATATATCAGTGTTCCAACACTGCTTCAAGAGACCCTCCCGCTTCTACAGAGGGTTTTCCATTTTTTGGTGGTGCTCCACAAGAGATGATCTAGACGGCCCAAGGGTACATTTCCCCCCGCCCTCCATTTTTGGAGATGCAAGGGAGAAAACAGGCATCGTCTATGTGTGAGCCTTGGCAGATAACATTGTACACGGAAAGGATGTGTTTTTAAAACACGTGTAACCCGAACTGAGCCCGCCCAGTCTGGTCACACACAAAGTCTTCCCCGTGAGATGCCCTTCCTTCCTGCTTCTACCATCCTTCTAGATGCCTTTTAAAAAGGAACACATCCAGAAAACCAAGATTCACCAGTTCAGAACGGGCTGCAACTCACCCGGTCACTGGTGAGCTTCTGCGGCAACGGCGCCACAACACAGTTCAAGGCAGAGGTGGGAGAGCCGCCAGTGCTAGATGGTGCACCGCTCCTCAGAGCAGAAGCAAGAGGAGGCCGTTGTCCTGGAGAGATGGGGGAAGACGTTGGGTCAGCAGAAGATCTCCTCGCCCTCTGGAGCCACTTCTGGCGAGTGAGTCTCTGAGAAGAGAAGAAACCGAACCACATTAAAATCATGCAGAAAGTCTAGGTGGCTCTCTCCTTTCTTAGGTGTGAAGACCTCGAAGGCCATCCCCGTTGTCAACGCAACCTCCATCCAATTTTCATGAAAGGTAATGAGAACAATTTGGTCTTTCACCCCAGAATCTGTTGCACCCAGTATCTCAGGCTTCACATCTAACTGCTTGGAACCAGGATTAGGGTTGGGACACGTCGAGTCACACATTTGGGAAAGGCTTCCAGATGGGTCCATCGGTTCCATGGAAGACTTTCTACCAAGACAGGATGTTCCTCATGAATAGCATCTCACACCTTGGCCCCACTGATACGCCATCAGATCCTCCACATGTCATCGGCTGCACCTTTGAACCGTGCAGGAGACCCGAGACGTTGTAATGAGAGTTCCTGGATTTCAGTTCCGCCACACCAGATGCTAAAGGGGTATCGGTCCCCTACTGTCTGCACTAAGGTAAAGAATTAAAGCGGCTCAGGCTGAGACAGAGACCAGAATCTAAGGCCCACAAAATTCAGGTGATCTTGGAGAACCAATCGTGTGTCTCTGCTTGCACCTACAACCACAACATCTGTTCCTAGGCTTGTACGGGATTTTTAACTCTTGGATGAAAGCAGAAAAGGTCTGTGTTTTTTTTAAAAAAAAGGATGCAGCACATTAGCTAGGGGAATAAAATAAATAAGGCACCCCCCCAAAAAAAGAGAACATTTTCCTGAAAAGTCAAAAGGAAAAGCACAAAACCTCTTGCATGAAAGCATGGTGGGAGAAGTGTTTTTAGAGACTTTGTTCTCCACTACAAGAGTGGAATATGGGACCCTCTGCATCCTTAACTAGCCAGTCCCAGAGGAAAGAAAGACCTGTTCCACACATTTGTTATACTTTTAGCTCCGAGGGACTTTGAAGGACGCACTCCACCGGCTGCAAGGGGGCCACGTGGCTTACCTGCCGATTGGGGGCGGTGCCCTTTGCCTTTCTTCTTCTTCTCCTTCTTCTCCTTCGGCTTGGCCAAGCCGAAGAGGCGGTTGGGCATCTGGCCCTGTCCCTCGGCGGATTTGTGGGTCTGGCTGGACGCCATCGTCCCCATCAGGTGGAAGCCGCTCTTCTCCTTGTGCGTCCTCGAGAGGCTGTTCCTTTTAGGCGACTCGGAGAGTCCAGCTTCCATGATCCCCGGTTTGGGGAGGGAAGAGCTCAGTGGCCGGGAAGAGGTGTCCTCGGTCGCCGGCAGGGAGGGGGTCCTGGTCATCTTGGCGTGCTGGTGGGGAAACGGCAGGGCAAAAGAGGAAACAAAGCTGAGAGATCAATAGGCAACGTAGTGGGACTAGCACCTGAGGTGTGGCCTGACTAGACACCACTTGCACATACACGGCAGGCCTGCTGGGGGTGACCAAGGCCGTCCAAGACTTGGACCCCCTTGCCAGAATGCCACGTGGCGCAGGAGAGCCCCCAAGCAACAGCCCTGCCCTGGCTGCCTCTGGGGTTCGGTGTCTGGAGGGATCTTGCTTCCGAACACAGATGCTCCGTTCAATTGCCATTCCTAAGAAATTCTAGGAAAAGTTCCTCTTTTTGGGGGGGGGGTTTACCTCCCAGTAGCAGGAGATTTGGGAGTGGTGGTACAAGAAGGAACGCTTGGATAGGCTTCCTCTTCTAATTAGGCGCCACCAACATTAAAGATGGGCATGCCCTGTAAGCTTGGTGGTTCATGCCTGTTTGTTTTTGTCCAAACGGGTGCTTGGCGTTTCCCAGGCCCATCTCCTCTGGCAGCCGCTCACTCAGACGCAGGGACTCGGCTTCCTTGCCCTGCCTCCTCTGGGTGCTGCCTCTGAGATGGGTGGCTGCCCGAGGAGGCAGGGCGGGGAAGTGCAAAGCCCTGTGTGGCTGAAGGATGGAAAGGCACACACTGCCAAACCAGTGGTTCGTGCCCATCTCTAATCGCCATACAAGGATGTGATGATTGATGACCAGCCTGTCTCAACAGTCCCTTTCTGTTCCGATCATCCCCATTCCTCCTACCACAAAAGGGCTCGGCAAGGAGAACGTGCGCCACCCAGACCAAACCCCTCCAGGAAGCACCATTGGCTTCTGCTCCCTCTGTCCCTTTCCCCCTTTTAAAAACCAACAATAAAGATGATAAGCAAGGGTTGAAAACCTCTTAGCATCTATGCCCTGTGGAACTCCCTTCCTCCTGACGAATGCTTCGGCCCATCTATAAGGTGAAGAGGCGAGCTCTGGAGACCTTCCATGCTGTGTTTAACTGAGATCACAATTAGCCTGCATGACTTAGAGCTCCTCTTCAAAGCAGCCAAAAATGCTTGCTCATGTCACGACCATCTCTTTGTTCATATGCTGCTTTCAGGAGGCTGTCCATCAAAGGTAAGGGACCCCCCCCCTTTCAGCGAGGTCCCCGAGATGCCTACCAGTAGGCTGTGAGTGGGCTCGGCCAGCGGCTGGGAGATTTGTTCCATATCTTTCTTCAGCTGCTCCTTCTCCTTCTCCAGCTGCTTCTGGGCGGCCCGCAGGTGCTCCAGGTCCAGCTGGTAGGCGGCTTTCTTCTGCTGCAGCTCCTCCCGCTCCTTCTCCAGGTGCTGGTGGCCTTTCTGGACCTGCTCCTCGCGCTGAGCCAGCTGGCCCTCCCGCTCCGCCAGCTCTTTCTCCCGGGCCTCCCACTCGCGCTCCCGCCTCCGCTTCTCCTCCTGGTGCTGGGCCTGCTGCCTCTGGAGGTTGGCCAGCTCCTGCCGCTGCTTCTCCATGCTCCGCTGCTTCTCCTGCTCGATCAGGGAGTTGGGGCGGAAGGAGCTGCGGGTCAGGGCCCGCTCGGACAGGAGCAGCTTCTGGTCCTCGATGAACGTATCCTGCTGCACCACGATGGCCTGCAAAAGAGGCGCACCACGAGTTGCTACGGGCAGGACCCGTGAGCTCAGTGGGGAAAGAGCACGGGCTCTGCATGCAGGCAAGCAGAAGGCCCCACCTTGAATCGCTGGCCTCTCCGGGTAGCTTTAGGAAACTCCGAAGAGCCACTGCCTGTCTAGAGTCCACCAGACGGACCCAGAACTTCCCATCCCATCCAGGCTGAGGTGGGGATCTTGCTTCCCAACACCTCTCTGGTGGTCCCTTGGGTTTGGGAGTAGACCACATCTGGCCAGCAAGTGGTTCTAAAGAGCCACTGCCTGTCTAGCGTCCACCAGACGGACCCAGATCTTGCTTCCCAACAACTCTCTGGTGGGCCCTTGGGTTTGGGAGGACAGTAGACCAGTGGTCTCCAACCTTGGGCCTCCAGATGTTCTTGAAACTGCAACTCCCAGAAGCTTTCAACACCATCACTACTGGCCAGGATTTCTGGGAGTCGAAATCCAATAACATCTGGAGGCCTAAGGTTGGGGACCACTGGTGTAGACCACATCTGGCCAGCAAGTGGTTCTCCAGAGGTTAGCCCACTGCCATTCCCATTGATCCTAGCCAGCATGCTCAGCACTAAGGGCTGATTGGAGTCACAGGAGAACCTCTTCTGGAGGGCCAGACATTTCCTGTCCCTGATGTAGTCAGGGGGTCAACTTAGATCGCGATTCCCAACTTTGGGTCCCCAGATGTTCTTGGCCCTAAGCTCCCAGAAGCCTTCACCATGAGCTGTGCTGGCGGCCAGGATTTTGGGACGTTGTCGTCCATGACCCTCTGCCCACCCCCAGGTTGGGAATCCCTGGCCTAGATGGACAGAGGACCTAGGTCCAAGGGGGCTTCGCAGGACGGGGCCCGGAAGGAGGTCAGTTCTCGGCAAGGTTGCCCGAGAGGCAGTGCACCCCACAACCTCTGCCATTCGCCTCCCTCTTGCACCTCCACTCTGCTCCCCACCACCCGCCACGGGGCTCCTACGTTGTGCTGCTGCTGCTGATGTGACTGGCAGTGCTTCGTCCTGCTTCAGACTTACCTGCAACATCCCCAGCAAGCTGTGGAGGTGAGAGATGCTCTGGAGAACCTGCTGCAGAAGGACAGAAGAAGACAAAGAACAGTCATTGGTTGCAGCTTCAGCCGTTTGCTCTCCTGGCGGCCTATCCTTCCTCCAAGAGCTGGTTTTTGTCCAGGAAGAAGACAAAGAACGGTCATTGGTTGCAGCTTCAGCCGTTTGCTCTCCTGGCGGCCTATCCTTCCTCCAAGAGCTGGTTTTTGTCCAGGAGAAGAGCGAACGGGGTCGCCTGTTGGACCCCTGGGCCAAGGAACCTCACCGTAGGATGCTCTGTCTATGCAGGAGGGTTGTACTACGCTCCAGATCATCTTAAACAACATCTTTGTTTTTAATCAGTAAGTATTCCCTTGCAGTGTCTACGTTTGGGGAATCCCTTTGGCTCGCCAGCTGTTTTGGATTTTGACCCTCAAGAGCTGGCCATGGTAACGCTGCAGCCACCGTTGCCTGGAAGGCCAACATATTTGCCCCCCCACCTTTTTGGTCCTACACATGATGTATTCAAGAAAAACCACATGAGAAAGAGGAAAACAAAGGGCCGCCCAGCAAATGACACAAGGAGGGAGGGAGAGAGAGAGAGACGCCCAAATCCTCTTGGGGCCCAATCTTAACATGGAAAGAAAAGGGAAAAAAGGATTAAAAGGAAGGGGGGGAAAAGATTACCAAAAATATGATAAACATGGGGACGGTGGAGGGAAAAATCTGGAAATGATTCAAACTCTACTTCTGGCTTTGAAAATACATATCTGTTGGTGTTGAACTACTGGTTGGAGAGCGGGGAAGCTGTGAACCTTGTAAACAAGGGCCAAGTGAAAACGGCAGCTCTTACCTCATTGTTCCTTTTTATCACAAACATCAAGTTAGCTGTTCCTCCCTAGGACAAAATTGTACAGCATGAATAATGAGAAAAGGAGGGGGAAAGAAAGCGTCAACACCAACAACAAACAGCAGCCCAGATTTTTGTAAGAAGCCTTCCTGGTGTGGACAGGCTGAGCTACAGTGCCCTTCATCCCGTTATCCCCAGACCAGCAAGGGACTGGGGATAATGGGTGTTGTAGCCCAACATATACATGGCTTTGGTGGAGGACGGTTTCCCTATTCAGCTCCCAAAACCCATCACTCCAAAGCGAGAGGACGACTCGGCCCATCCTGGCAACAGGGACAGATGATGGACTCGGCAGCTAGACACGAGCTACAAAACCACCATGTGTCCTATAAGGGATGAACAGCTTGGAAATGGACCAATAAAGGCAGGATGGAAAGAGTCGCCACAGACAGAAAACGAGTGCTTGGGGGGGGGTCTCCACTCTCTTTAATTATTGACCTTCAGGCTATACATGGTGTCAAAGGGGAAGGGGAAATTGCCATGTGCTGCCTTCAGGTCCATGGACGGCAACTCTCCAACAGCCTCAGCCCAATCTCATGCATCCGTGACCCCCTTAAATGCAGAGATGGTCCATTGTGCCGTCCTTCAGATGTGGACCACAACCCTCCACATCTTCCACCACGCTGGTTTTCTCAGGATGGCGGGATGCGTGCTCCAAGCAGCTCTGCAGGGCCACACACATCGGGCACCCCCCCTTTTTTTAATCCCCCAATGAAAATAAAAGCCAGCAGAGGAGAAGGGCTAGACTCCGATTTCTGTGGAGGTAAAAGGGTCCTCGCAAGCTTCGGGCTCTCCCCAGTGGCCTACCTTCTTCAACACACTGTCCGACTCCGTCCTCCGAAGATCCTGCACCTCATCTCCCTCATCCTTCTCCCCACCTAGAAAAAGCAGAAAGAGAGGGCGGGGAACCCACAGGAGTTTAATGGCAGTTGTTTAGGCTTGCAGTTTATGCTTGCAGAGGGAAACCTACAGCAGCCCACAACAGGGCAGAAGGGCATGATTTATGCATTTTCTTATTTAGGACCAGAATAGACCATCTTTCCTTGGAAGTGCTCAGAGCAAGTAGCATAAAAATGGCTGTCCTCATCCCCTAGGAAGAGTGAGGGTCAAACAGAGTGAAAGCGACTGGCCTGAGGCGATCGGCTACATTTTCTGGCTCAGCGGGGAGCAGAATCTGCCTCCCCCCAATCCCTGGCTGGCACTCTTCCTATTACACCCAACTGGGTCCCCCAAGACGTATGGCTCTGAAGGCAGCCAAATGTCTTCCTTCCTTCCTCATCACATTTCCTGTTCCTACTAATATTGAGCAACCCGCCCGCCCCCAAAGACAAGGAGTGTGCAATGCAGGGACTCCCTAGAGGAACGTGGCGTTGGGATGGGAGAGGCAGGACGGGGGCTCACCTTTGCAGACGTTCATCTGGTGACTGTCGAATCCGCCAAAGGTCTCCGCCCTGCGGGGGAGGGAGACGGGCCCCACCCCGACTTGCTCGGAAGAGAGGCTACTCATCGGTGGTTCCAGGGCACTCCCGAGACTCTGGCTCACCAGCCCTTGCAGGAGCTCCACTGGAAAGGAGAAAGAGAGACCTCAGAAGGCCTGGGGGGGGCGGTTTGTTGGGGGGGTAGGGCAGTCTCCATCCAAGTTGACTGCTGGGAGGGATGCAAAGAGGAAGGGAAAATCCAGCCCTAGGAAGCTATAAAGACGAATATGCTCCACCAAGCTTCCTTGTCCTATGAGCACGCTCCACCAAGGGCACACATCGCTGTCCAGAAAGGCCACAGGCGCCACCAGGATCCAGCCCGAGGGAAGTCAACCCAACGGGAGCAGGCGGGACCCTCTCCTAGCTGGGAAGGTGGCTAGCAAAGCAAGCGGAACAGAACCCAGTTGCCTTCCCCAATCTGGCGCCCTTCAAGAGTCGAGGCCAACAGATCTCCATGGCTAGCTAGGGGCCCCAAGAGTTGTTGTTCCAAGAAAATACCTCTTCAAAGCTCTGGGGCAAAACGGGTAGCCTCTTCCAGAGGCAACTGCCCTACACCAAGTCTGACTATTGAGCCATCCAACCTCAGCCTTGTCCATACGGAAATCCAGGGCTTCAAGAGAGAGTTGCTTCAGCTCTGTCTGAAGATGCCAGACCTGGGGGACCTTTCCCATGTAACACTGGACCTCTTTTTTTTGAGCGATGCCCACCCTCCAAACCCTCGCGGTACCCGGTGTTCCCACAGTCCAATCGAGATACTCCCCAGGTTGGATCCCGCATAACTTGAAATTAAATGTGCTTGGATGCTCCTAACCTCAAGTTTCTTTCCCGGATTACTAGAATGCATGTTAAAAACCAGAAAGTGTCGCCTCGCACCTCGAAACGAATGAAGTTTTATTTTGGCTTCAGCCGGTGTGATCTCTAGCCAACGTCATCGGATGTCTACAGCCCAAGAACAATGGGCCAAGGAAAACTGGCTAATGGTTTAGATACTTATTGTTTGTGCCGGAACAGAATTACCCAACTACCCACCTCCTGGGGGTGCCTGGACCGCATGTTTTAACTTTTTGAGTGAGAAATAATTCTGTCTGGAACGCGTGTTTTAACTTTTTGAGTGAGAAATAATTCACTCAGTCAATCAATGGCCTTTCTTGATTCATCTCGGCATACTCAATTTGGTCACAAAAGAGTCACATGAAAAGCAATGATCTTAGGATGCGCTCCACATACTCTGTGGCCGACGACCACCCTTTTTCCTTGAGGTGAAGGCATGGAATGGAGCTTGAGAGCCCCGCTTACCTTCATTGATCACACTCTTCATTACATTTTCTCCCTTGGGAGCGTCTTCGGTATTGGCTCGGAACAACGTCCTGGCCCCCACGTGCTCCTCGTGGCCGCTACAGTCAGTCATATCCCGGAAAAGCTTGTCTTTCTCTTCCAGCAGCGTTATGATCTGCTGGTCCTTCTGATGAAGCTGTTCTGTGGGTTGGCAAGACAAGATGGCGTCGGAAGGGAGGCAGCCATTCAAAGGGTTGCGGCGGAAACACAGAAAGCGTCTTGTAGGTCCTATGGGGTGAGTGATCTCTGAGGCTCTAGCCCCACCTTCTGCTGCGTCAGAGAACTGTAAGGCTAACACAGGACTTGGCTCTAAGAAGGGTGATGCAAGGTGGAATTACTGTGGAAAAGAAGGCTTCGCTAAATGAAAAGGATGGGAAAAGCCAAAGGAAGGAAATACAGTCGTGCCTCGCTTTACGAACTAAATGAAAAAGATGGGAAAAGCCAAAGGAAGGAAATATAGTCGTGCCTCACTTTACGATTGCCCCGCATTACGATGAAACCGCATTACGACGATCTTTTTGTGATCGCAATTACGATCGCAAAATGATGGTCTGAATGGGGTTTTTTAACTTTGCGATGATCGATTCCCTGCTTCGGGAACCGATTCTTTGCAAAACGACGATTTTTCTCCAGCTGATCGGCAGTTTCAAAATGGCCGCCAGGTAAATAAAATGGCTCCCCTCTGTTTTCTGGGATGGATTCCTCGCTGCACAGGCACCGAAAATGGCCACCCTATGGAGGATCTTCGCTGGACGGTGAGTTTCCAGCCCATTGGAATGCATTAAACGGGTTTTAATGCGTTTCAATGGGCTTTTTATTTTCGCATTACGTTTTCATTCTACAGCGATTTCGCTGGAATGAATTAACGACGTAATGCGAGGCACCACTGTATGGTTTTCAGATGCATCTAGATATAATGTTGCCTCGTACAAGGAGTGAGCACGGTGTGGTGGCCTTTGGGCTCTGAGATGTTTCTGTTGACTCCAGCCATCCCGTGCTTTTTTTCTGGCCAAAGGTAAACGGCCACCCTGGGAAGCCTCCAGCAGAGGCTGGCCACCCCCACCCACCATGCCCTGCACAACATAGGCCCACGGCTGTCTCACAGGGCCCGCAAAGTACCAATAACACAACTGCTTCTTGGAGGTCCAAAGAAAGGAGGCTGGGGGCATCCGCCGTTGCCCCTGTTGCCACACAGCTGGTCGGTCCCAGACCCCCAGCGCTGAGGGAGACCCTGAAGGACTTTTAGCTCTTTGCCCACTACAGGAGATTAGGACCCAGGGACAGTCGGTAGGTCCCGGTCGCAGCTTGGCTGCAAAATGGGGAGTAGGTTCCATGCGGCAGCATTTTATGCCCTGAGCCACCTTCGCTTTTACCTTTCAGTTCCCTGGCTTTAGTATCCAGCACTCGCTTCTCCTCTTCCGACTCACTAGGGACGCCTTCGTCTTCCTCCTTATCCCTGTGGGGAAGAACCAGGCAGGTTGAGAAGGCAAGCCAAAGGAAGGGGCGCCGGCTGGAGAAATACTGCCCCCCCCCGTTGTCCTTGAACTGTTCATCTGCCAACAAGCAGGGCTTCAGATTTAGGGTGGCAGGCGGGGGTGGGGCAAAGATCGAAGGCTTGAGAAGAAGGGCAGAACCTTCTGCTTAGGCCAGGAGAGGACAAGATTCCCAATCTTAAATATATTCACTTCCTCCCCCCTCCACAAGACAAATAAACCACATCTCTCCCTCTTCCTTTTTCGTTGATCAAATGCCTCAACACCCCCCCCCTTTTAACCTGATTTAACTTTACATTTAACTATGCACAAATCTGAACTATTTACGTGCATTATGTTATGTGCCATCAAGTTGCCTCCAGATTATGGCAACCCTGAACAGGATTGTCAAAGAATGTGAGATATTTAATACGTTTTTTTTTTACCCTGACTACCTTCCAACGAATTTTCATGGATGAGCAGGGATTTGAACCCGGGTCTTCACTGCATAGTTCAAGAGCCACTACACTGGCTCTTGAACTATGCATACATACACTTGAACTATGCATACATACACCATTGATTTATACAGGAAGTGCTTTTTGCCACAAAACAGCTAAAAAAAAGCATTCATAAGTACTTGACTACATGTCAAAAAAGGAGTTGATTAGAACCTCTTAGGAAAAAAAAAAGTTTTATATCACACAAACCACCTCTTTGATCATGTCATCATCTTCCTTAAGCACAAGCAGAGTTTCTACCTCTATTACAGAGGATTATAGCTGTTGTTTACACCAAGTCAGTATTCAGAAGTCTTAAGCTAGCTAAGAATGTACGTCCTTCTATCATCTCCCAAAGTGGAACGCACATTTCAGTGCGGTTTGAGGAGATATAAATTAATTAATTAATTAAATAGTGAGTCAACCTCGGGTCCACTGAGTGTGTGTGTGTGTGTGTGTGTGTGTGTGTGTGTGTGTGTGTGTGTTGGAGGACAGCAAACCTAGAGACTTCTGGTGAGTCAACCTCCAGTCCACTGTGTGTGTGTGT